ATCAAGAACCTAGAAAAGTATTAAGATACGCATCATTATGTTAAATAACTGTACGAATGGTCGGAATGCTCAAATCTCAATTTTATATAAACAAATAATATTCAACCTTAACACTACAGTTTTAAGAACGATTTTGTTTTACAAATTTTGATATAACTGTGTAATTACATTTGTCAAATAAAATAATTTTAATAAAAACCTTAACCTTCTTGGTTAAGTATAGTCCTTTAATTATTTAAAAACTAGTAAAACATTCCTTTTTTAAAATGTAAAACCTTTTTAATTCTGTAAATTTTCAAATTAAGAACAAAGTTTACACCAGAGTTTAATGTAGTTTCTTTCTTGCCAGTTAGTATTAACAGACAAATAAGAACCATAAACATTTCTACCGAATTATTTATTTTATTCTACGAACTACTACTATTAAAATAATTACTATATTATCTAATAATCTATGTACGTTAAATGAGTTCTTCATAATCTGCCACCATGTTATTAATTCCGCGAAATTGAATTGTCCGGTTCACACATATACCGTCAGTACGTATACAACAAAATACAAATGTGTGTAAGATAGGTGTACCATGCATACTCTCACGCACACTATTCGCTTGACACGTTTGTTATGCCGTTATTTTTTATCTGTGTCCATTGTCATACGACAGCTGACTGTCAGATTGATTTGAAATAACTAATGTTTTGTTATTAAAAAATTAACGGTATTAGTACCGTTATTTGATAAGGTATATTTTCGTTTTGAAGATATTATTTTAAACCGTTAAAACGTCTGTTGTACTTGCGGTTACGGACAAAAGACTTATCAACGATCAGATAACGAGTAACTCGACGTTACCTAGCATTGTTGAGCTTAACTCCTCGAATCTCACATAAATTTGCTTAATAATCTCCAAGGAAACAGAAACGTTGTAGACTGGAATTATTTTACTTGACAAATTTCGTTTAAAATACTGTTTTATGTAATTTTATGTAGTACTGAACTAGTGTGCATTGAATTTTTAAAGTGTAATTTTCGAAAATATTAAATTCCAGTTAGACAATGGAAACGAACTTCCAACCGTCAATCTCAGCGACTACCATCACGCCATCTAGTTCCAAGAACAATATAATACTAACATTTCCTTTTAAAGAATTCATATACCATGCCGGTTTCTAACGTTCGTAAATATTTACAGAAGATAAACCGTCAAAAAATATCTATTCTTTTAAATAAGAGAAAAATATTAATAACAAGTAGAATATAGCCTTTTTTCTATATTCCTAAGTATAGATTATTTTACAAATGAATTTAATAAAACATTTTCTTGCATAACTGGCTAATGCAAGAACCGAGCGGCAACGGCAGACTGCATTTCCGCGCTCCATGTTATATCTCATTGTAATGATAAATATTGTTTATGACTCAGGCCATTAAACTAAACCCACACAAAGACAACTTGAATACACACTGTAATAAGTAATACTAAATTATTAATATTGTTCTTTGATAACATAACCTCAAAAGTTTGACGTCATTTTTGGCGCCGTTGTGACACGTTTTTTTCTTTTTCTAGTCAACTTATATTTAATTCAAGCTGTTCCCGTGCGGCTTCACCCGCATGAAATTATAAAAAACTTTATTTATGTTGTTCACATTTGTCAAATTCTCAATTGCTAATGTCAAAATACCAATTACCTTACTATGGCAATCTTGCTTCCTTGATGTTTGCAGCAATTTATGGTTTCTTTCCCACATTAGGGTTTTTATCCAAAATTTTTATAGTCTGAACCGTGACGTAAATGTTGGGGTTTTTATTTAAAAAAGGATTATTCAAAAATATGCTGTAATTTCTGACATCTTAGGCCACAAAGAAGTGTGTTTTTACGCTTTATTATAATAGTATAGATATTCTAGTCAGAAGTGGATTCTTTTACTTACATAAAACATCTCTAAAACTATATGAGTCATTACATTCGAAACACAATACTCAACGGGGAGTCGAACCCCCCTAATGCTTTCCTGAAGCCGGAAGTCATTGATTTCGGTCCATAAGCCCTCCTGCAGCCATTCGGGGGCTTATTTACGAGCTGCATTTGTACTAGGCTTCATTTCCTGTATGGGAGATTTGCTTTAGGCTATTTGGGCGCAAAACATTGCGCGCAGTGATACAGTGCAGTAAATATCGTGTGATAAATGGGCTCTATAGCTTTGTGAAAACTTGCTAAATTAAAAACTTTTTTAGTACACTAGATAGAAATGTTACCGGTAAATCTTTAATGCTACCCCTTTGTAAGCATCCTAGGAAAATTATAAGACTGGACAAAACATAAAATGGTCCATTTAGTAACTCGCCTTGGCAGGGGCATTGTCACGTCCACATTTCACATCAAATCTGTGCCCTTTTCCTTTTTATGCATCAAAAAAGGTTCAACTAATGCAATGTGTGAAAGCTTTTAGATACAATCCTATTAACAAAAACCGCTCTTAATCCGAATGTATCCTTTACCGTCGCTAATGATTACAAACGACTTGAGAAATCATCTCGCAAAAAGGAGGGAAAATCACAAAGGTAATTTTCCATTTCGCCCGCAGACTATAAATTGTGATTCATTGAGTCCCAGCTGCCGGCTTCTTGTTACACCGAAACGTACAGAGACTGTTTCGAGTAGACTGGCAATTTATAAATTCAAACCATATTATGAAATAAAAAATAAACGTTCTGTTTATTCAAATATTAGGAGCTTCCCGAGGGATGTGCTTAATTTCAAACTTGTAAACTCATTATGTACGCAACCAAAAAAGAAAAGAGAAAAAAGACATAAACTGTGCAAAAAAGAGTACGGATCAAGAGTCTGTAGATGTTAAATAAAAAAAAAATATTGTGTAAATATTAAGTGTAACTTTTGTAGTACAAATATTTATATTTAATAATATTAAGAATTATTTCTAATATTCTTTTAATTAAATAATTCGTATGAAATAGAGCAACATATAATCGTAATACGTGAATTTAAGGAAACAGTAATTTAATTAATATTTGTCGCGTATGCTAAACGGTGTGAACGACCCCAGCACATTGTTATAAATTATTCTTTCTTTTATGAATCCATGAAAAATGGCAGTCATCAATTTTTCACTTAGAATTGCCTTCGTCAAATTTAATAATAATTATGCCCATTGTTTTATTACAACGGATACTCTCACCGCTCACCCCTCGTTATTTCCCTTTCATAAAATATGTTTTTTTTACAATGTATGACGAGATTCTTTCATTAACACGTCTGTCCTTTTATATCCTTTTGTAGATAATTTTATAAAACAAACATGCAATATCGATTAAAAAAATCCTTTCTTCAAATACTAGACGGAACGGAACTGATTTGACTATTTTTCAATTAAAAAATATATGATAACCAGTATAATTATGTTGTTTATTCTCTTAATGGTATAATACTGTTTAACATTTTTTTTACATTTTTAATATTTAACACCATTCGACTTGTACATTATTCAATAAATAGATAGTATTTGTAATGTGATATCCCATTTGTCAAGATAATCGGACGTTTGCAATTAAATACATTAATTCCGTGAATTAATTAACTCTGGAACTACACGTGTTATGAATAATTAAACGTATATAAGATCACAGTTATCTACGTTTCAGTTAATTATATCTCCATAGCAACAACTCTATTATATCCTAGAACACAGTTTAATTAATAACATTGTCCCTTATCATTAAAACTATAATCAAGGCCCTTCCATTTGATGCACAAGTTGTGCAAAAAATTGTCAATATGTCAACCGCCATTTTGTACTAAATTCTACTTGTAAAGTCCTTCCATTTGATACCCATTTTTGGGTTGTTAAACAAAAATATGTCATCAGGCAGTTTATGACGGCAGCCATTTTGGATTTTTAACAGTACGTACTGGTATAGATTGTTCTCAGAATGACATATAGTTTAGTTAATTAAGTTTTGGTACTTATGTTTACACAAATATCGACATAAAACAAATTCAATTTGGCACAAATCCCACAAACGAAGTTTACTCCATGCTCTTATAAAGTGTTAAACCAATTTTTATTACCAACTTACAACTTTAGGGGTCCGTCGTCAAACGAAATGATCGCCCAAAGGGCCACTGGGCAACTTCTGTGGTCCCCCTTACGTAGATAGGACACGATTCCAAAGTAAAAGATTGTTTGTACAATAATTCTTTAAGAAATTTTGTGTCGTAAAATATTATACGAATACTAACTTTTATCATTTATTGAACAGACTATTTAAAAAAATATATAAGTATAAAATTGTACATAACTAACGTCTTTTTCTTTTTGTTTCCATTTACAAGTAATAAAATCTGTTCGTTCGTCTAGCCATTTTATATTCTATAAATTTCCATATAGAGAGCAAGTTTACCTAAGACTTGTATATCCAATCTATATCAAAGAGCAAATAATGAAATGTAAATTCCCCTTTAGTCCTTTGTCTTTATCTGGAACCTTCTTTAAAAGAAAATAACTTTTTCGTTTTTTATTAAATTCACGTGCACATTTCAATAGAGTAAAAATATCTTGGCTATTTCGCAATTTGAAAAACGAATAACGCACTGGCCGTAAAGAATAAATATGGCGTTTGCTTTTCCCCGCCAAAAATCGTTAAAATATAACCTCTTTTTTGTTGATATAAATACTGAATGTCGCCTACCGTTTTTGAATCATTTTATCTTTTAAAGTTTGTAGATCTAAATAAAATAAATTTCATTTTATGTATTAAAAAATATTACGAATTCTAATTCGCTTCTTTGGTTGTAAAACTTTTTACACATATTTAAATAAAGTAATAATTTATTAAGTTCCTCTCTAGGTTACATTTATGTTGACTTTACAATGCACGCCCAATATCTTTATTACGACGCATTCTTAACAGAGGGTGAGCAGAATGAATAGATATGTAGATGAAGGAAATTAGCATCTAGTCATTAGACTGAAAGTAATGTTGTATGTTGACATTTTATGTGAAAAGGATGTCAATAAAGAGGGCAAAGATGTCAGAAAATATAGAGAACAACCAAATCCAAGAGGTTGGTAAAACAACTAAAACTAACCATTGACTAACCTAAATGTAAACAGAAATGACAAAACATACACTTGGCTCAAATATGTTGTAAATACTTAATTTTCTTGTGAAAATAAATAGAGTTTGTGTATTGTAGAAAATACTACATATTTATGTACTTATTTAGGTATATGAAGTGTCAGACTGATGGCAACCCTACAAGATTAAGCTACCGTTTCAAAAAGCCCAAGTTTCATTTCATTGGTTTGATGTCCCATTGAATTTGTCACAATAGGTACTTAGTCGGACAGATGTGCATTATTTTTTATATATAGATCGCGTTACGGTTTTTATTGAGTTCGTTCTTTTATTGTCCCGGTGACATTATAAATATTTGAGTTTATAATAATAATTGTAGTTGCGTTTCATGATATCGATAGTTTAAAAAATATTAAAAACGTTACTGTTTAGTTTATAGACAATATCTTTTACCGCGTATATTTTGGCCTCATCTATGCAGCAGTTAATGTGAAGACTATTTTAATTGTCTTATGACTCAAAAGCAAGTTTTTCCATGATACGTATCTAATTCTATGTTTTCGTACAGATGAGTCTTCAAAACAGTGAACGCCAAATCAAATGATGCCTTACCAATCAAGCTAATTCCAAGAGATCATAATGAACCTAGTTTAGTAGTCTAGTTTTTTTTTTATCGATATGACACGATAGATGTTCACGTCACCAGTAGATCAACACTAGTGACATGTCGGTGTGACGGGAGCCCACTTTAAACCGGCCCTACTGATAATTGGACACGCGTCGTCCGCACTCAATAGAGACCGCTAATCTCTCGCCAAATAACCGCATATTATTATTTGCATTTGAGATTGGAGGGTCCTTGTTTAGGGGGATTAAAAGATAGGGTGACCACGTTATTATACTATATAATAGTGATATCTGGTGGCATTATTTGTCAATGAAATTGTTTCAAATTACAAAGCATCGTTATCGTATAATTATAGTATTGTTTTATGTGTTTTTTTACTTTTTAACCAACAAGTAGTGTTTTTATTTTTATTTTATTTATTTGTTACGTATGTTTATCCTTTAATTTGAAAATGTAAAACCTTTTAAAATACTACAGTGTGCGTGGTCTAGAAATTGTTAAACACATAAATCAAAATGGCCGCCATATGTCATGGCTTTCATTTGAAACAACTGACGTACATCCCAGATAAATCACTGTATTCCATTTGTGCGGGTTGATTGCTGCAGGAGAAATATTTGAAAAACCATTTAAAATAGGTATTTTTGTTATTACTCTCTTAATATGGAATAGTATAACATTTTACACGACAGTGCCTTTTCCTATATTGAAAAACATCCATTAAAAATTTCTACATCATACTTACTAATGTTGTAAATGCGAAAGCTTGTATGGATGGATGTTTGTTAGAATTTTTAGCCTAAGCGGCTGAACGGATTTCGATGAAATTTGGCATAGATGTAGATGATATTATGGAAGAACACATAGGCTACTCATTTGTTTTTTTTTAAATTCCTTGCGGACGGAGTCGCGGCCAAAAGCTAGTAATTAAAAAATAATGAAAACAGTAAAAACAGTTTGGTACTTTCCGCATTATTAATTGCTGCAAAAATCAAAATTGAGGCTTAAAACGTTAGCGTTTGTTTCGAAAGTCTATTTGTACAGAGTACAAAAGAATGAACTCTTTCATTAAACATGTATACAGCCAGTACCAATCAAAGTATCTGCGAACGCTTTGAACATTCGAGAACATTTTCAATTCATCCTTACACCAAGTATGGATTTTACTTTCTTTTGTTTTGTATAAAGTTAACGAAGCGAAAGGTTATTTGCGAGCTCTTAGACTATTGTGTCTCAAGAACAACAGGCTGCTCCTATATCAAGTTAATTTGTATTTTAATTGAATTTTGAAATACAAAAAGCCAAGGAATATTATAATCAATTTAATTTGTATAAGCGCCTTACCTAGGACATGTATTAGTTTAGACAGACTTCCCTAAAATACTTCAAATTATTATTTTTTTTTTATTTTAAGTAAACCATTAAGAATCATTCCTTTTTTAATATCAAGATTTTGTAATTTAAAAGTACTGTCCTGTTGAAAATTATGGTCAATGTACACAGTAGCCCCGGGGCAACAAGATATCCGACATTCACACGAGGGTGCATACATTATTGCGCATTTGGGATCACTGCACGTATCACGGTGTCTTACTACTATTGTGATATCAACTATAAATGTAGATTCCGAAATACATTTTTATATCACAAAGAAACTATATCTAATTATTAAGATGTAAAGAGTTTCGCAGTTTTATGGTGCAAAGTTGATTTAGCTAAAAGTTATGCGTAGATATTCATTTTCAAACTAAAGTTCTATTACTTTTAAAATAAATAAAATAATATAACATTTACATTTACGACGCGGAATTAAAAAGTGACAAACTCTAACAAACATCCGTCTATCTAAACTTTAGCATTTCTGTATTAGTAAGATTAGATTATTATTCAATTTCATAGCATAACCATAACTTTACCTAGAGTAAAAATAGACATGTTCAAATTATTCTTTAAAGACTAAAATTATTGCAAAAATTTACATACGTAATACACAGTTAATTTTGTTATGAAACTTCAAAGCGGTAACTGCATATTAATCTAGTTTACTTAGTTTAAAAAGCAAGTGACCGCGGTTTGTGGGGAGTAAATTTTAACCAGCGCTCCCAGCGGAGACATGCCCCCATATTAGTTTCGCAAACTTTATCTAGATGGTTAAAACGACGGTTTTCGCGGCGAAACTCAAACTTTCATAACCGACAAGACTTGAGCAAAAATTAACACAGTTGGGGAAGATAAGTGTTTATTCCATTATTGACAAATGATTATTAAAACAACTAACAAATTACGTATACAGGGTGACATTTTAAATACCAGAAAAAAATAGCGCACACACTGATGTACATTTTCTTTAATATTTGTAAGTTTATTTTTTAATCGTGATGTGACGCTACATTTTGTCTGATAAATATAAATCACCCTGTATACAGGGACATATATGTAAGCAAACTTAAAATGCCTTATCCCTCTCTATCAGTTCATTCGTTCATTCGGGTTTTCCTGTTCCAAATTGATGAGACATTCGTCATTAAAGTCTTCAATCCCTTTTGATAACGCTATTTTTGTATAACCGAATGACAAATAATTCTTGAACAACAGAGTAACTATCCTATATAGACTGATAGTCTATATATGTCTATTTAGGTATATATGACGTATCTCTCTATGTACTTCAATAGGCAAATAACCCTGTTTGTAGATTACATCCTAGATCGCATCCAGTAGAAATGCTCGGACACGTCCGACAACGCTACGAGTAATCCTTTGAACTCTACCCACTTCCTTACATTTCTGTCCATAGACTACTTGAATAATTGAATACCAAATGGACTAAATTATTTCTGTATTATTTCTATTAGTGTCACTAAATATATTAAATGCCAATTCTTACCCGGTTTTGTTTTTTTATGTAAATAGTTCATAGGAATCTATGAAGATAAAGAAAATGTATGAACTTTGAAATATGACGAAATATGTCATAATCGTTACGTCTCTAATATGTTTCAAGTAATTTTTATTTGCCTTTAATATTTTATATTTAAGAAAAAGGCTTATTGTATCTTGACAGATTCCCTTACACTTTAATTTATATTCATTAAAAAAACAATAAAAAAATACCACATAACCCCACATAATATATTCATCCCCTGCGCACAGGGATGTGGCCAGCTAATATAAGTTGCGAGGGCAATAATTGAGAACCGACCCACCCTGTATCACACTTAATAAAATCACATTTTGGTACACCCCTTGTAACTATCTCGGGGGACGAGTAGCTACAGAACCCATTCTGAATTTGCTTTGTAAATTTTCACATACTCTTTGATATTTAAATGCTAGTTGCAGTCTTCGTTAGAAAGAATAATCGATTATTTTATAACGAAATGACATTGCTGTACAAAATAAAAGACGTAAAGGACATCTTTCAACTAGATTTTGATCAATAATAATAGAGACCTCAAGAATGTTAATTAAATCGATTACTGGCAATCCAAGCAATTGAAAAAAGATTATTCTAATTAGACAGAATCGATATATGATTATCATCGATAATATCCTATGAGTTATAAATATTTAGTGACATTTTGACCAACGTTTAGTAGTTGCGCTTAGTATCTTATGAAAATTTCCTACTAAGGAACTCTTAGTGGCCACTCAAATCATACTAATCACACTGATATTATAAATGCAAAAGTTTAGATGGATGTTTGTTAGACTTTGTAGCCTAAACGGCTGAACGGATTTCCATAAAATTTGTTATAAATGTAGAGCATAGTCTGGAAGAACACATAGACTACTCACTTTTGTTTGTTTTAATTCCACGCGATGTCGCAGGCGAAAGCTAGTAAATCTATAATTCAACCATCTTGTGCTATTAAATTCATTAGAATATTTATTAGCTTGTAGACGAATTGATGATAGTTCAACGACGTTTGTCGACAGTTAATTGATGTCGGTGTCCGAATCGTCGAATTAATATTAACTGTCGTTTATCCAGTGTCAATATTTGAGGCGATAACGACGTAATAAATCAGCCTAATGAATTACATTGAATACTATCGTTTGAGGTTAATGACTGGTTAAGATCTTTGACTGAAGAGTCTAATGATAGTACAGCAATCATTGAGTAATCAAATATAACAATTGACGATCGTAATATTGTTTTAGCGGACGCACACCTTTGAATAAACTATCGCACGACTATTGAGCGATTGTCGATTGTGTCGCAGCAACTATTTTTTTTATACAAAAAGGTGGCAAACGAGCAAGCGGCCACCTAAATTCCGCCAAATTGGCGAAGCGACCGTTGCCAATATACATCCGCAATTATAAATGCGTTGCCTACCCTACATCAACGGAGG